ATAATATTTAATGAAATATAATTAAATTTTTTTTAAATTTTTAAAAAATCGTGAGTTAGTTACTAATATTTATCTACTTGTATTTATTTATGTCTCGTTTATTTCTCGACATCATGAAGTACTGTATATAATAAATGTACATATTTAATAACTGTACATATTTTTTACTGCATACAGTAAATTATCTATTGCAAAAGATTTGCACTCAATATTCTTGTCAAACTCTTAAATTGATTCTACAAATTTATTATTTGTACATTTTTAACTTACAAAATTATGTTAATTTATTCATAAATTCAGACTAAATAAAACTTGGTTAAGCTAGAAAATTGACTCTTCAAGTTTACTATTTGTACATTTTTAAGTTGTAAAATTGTGTCAATCTGCTCATAAACTCATCGAGCAAGATATGTATATGCTATGTAGAATCAAAAAATTAATATTAATAAAAAATAAAATGCCAAAAAGATAGATACAATGTCAATGATATATATATATATATATATATAATTAAATTAAATTATGGTCATATTTTATATATTAATTATTTAATAATATATTTTTAAAGTTATTTATTAATGGAGGTAAACTTTTACAAGTTTACAATTTAAGTCTACATTTTAAATTTATATTCCTATCATGAGTTTATTTAAATTTGTGAGTTTAACAACTTTATATATAATTGTCCTACATTACAATATGTATATTATATTGATTGATAGATACAATATAATCATATCTACAGTTTCTTTGTTCATAAATTTGGTATTTATGATCTCAACTACTACAGCGTAGTTAGTTATATGCAATCACCTATTCAAAGAATTAACCATTTTTTGTTCATATGATTCTTTTGGAGGCTGGGCTGAAAAGTGAATGCTTGTAATTAGTAAGTATGAAATATAATTAATTTCTCCCCAACTGCCCTTTGCATAGTTGTAATTAGGAAAATCACCACGAAGTCATCCACAACCATTGAAAATACCTAAAGGTTTCACCAAATCTAAAAATATGTGTCCAGTCTCTAGGGACTTAAAAGTAAATAAGATTGAAATAAAAGTGACTAAAATGCCCATGTTATAAGATGTTTTATTGATAACTTGGCAATAGTCATTCACCACAAGGCAAAGGAAATGGACAGGTGACAAATATGTGCCGGTGACAAAGACATCCTCACTTGTCAATAACCTTTGTCTTAAGGTAAATGGCTGCTTAATTGGGCATTTTATGACTTAGGCATTTTGCTTATTATCATTTCAATTTTATTCACCCTCCAGTCACAGGGCTTTCGGGCATTTAAACGGTTGTGGGGACTTCATAGTAATTTTTCCTTATATTTACCGCATTACTTTACTTGTTGCTGTTATTTTTTCTCTCTCTAAACTATTGCAGTACTTGCTCATAGCAATGAAAAATTTAAAATGTATACAATCAAATTCAATCAGAATTATTTATAGAAGAATATTGCATAAAATTCCGTTTTAATGAAAGTGAATTCATTCCTTATGGTAATTATCACATGTACTTCATTCTAAAGAGAATGGCTAATGGTATTTCAGTTAAAGAGAAAATGAAGTAATTAATTGGTGACTTAAGTGGTATTTTAGTAATTGGCATAACACCCATCTATAGGGTCCCACAAGGACTCGTATTTATGGAGAGTGTTTAGGTGATAAGTAAATAGATTTGGATTCTCCACATACTTTCTCTCAATATATCTTTTCATACACAATCTCAACTATTTATGTATGAGAAATACTTAAATAGATCGGGTGTATCATGTTATTGATAGTTTGTTCAATTAAAATGCTTCAAGTATTTAAATAAAAATCTTGTGTGATATTTTTTAAGTTGATTTTATTTTTATAACAAAATGCATATTTGATTTCTTTCCTTTCCTCTCTTTACTATAATTAATGTTAGAATCAATTTATATTTAATGCCACCTAAATATTATATTTTTATTAAAATCATAAATGACGTGATGTATTCAATTTACTTAAGTATTTCTCTTTATGTAATTGTTGTTATAGTTTAATGCTGTAAGGTTGTTAATTGTAGCATTAAAATAAATATAATATTCACTTAATGGTTATCATTAATAAGCATTGTGATTTTATTTTCAAAAGCATTTAAGTGATGATAGTGAATAACCTATTTATTTTAACGTTATAATTAGCAATCTTATATTACTAAACCAAAATAATAGTTAAATGAATGGTTGAGATTGATATGGAAAGATGTATTGAAGGAGAGTATAGAGAGGCTTCAAATCCGTGGACAGATGTCAAAAATTTATGTGAATAAGTTCAACTTAGCTTCATTCTAAATTAACTATATAGATTATATAAAATATAAATAATGTCACGTCTTAAACATAATAAATAAAAAATAATATTTATTACATATTTATATTATTATTTAATGATTATAATAGTAGTAGTATTTTTATTTTATTTTTACTTATGGATCCAAACAAAAAAAAATTCATCTGATTATTTTTAATGAATATCAAATGGTCAAAAATCTGCACTCTCTAAAAATATTAATAGAAATTGTTAATAACAAAAAAGGAGAAAAAAAAAGGAAGGAGAAAGGGGATAAGAGTAGTTGGAATTGCACACGAATAAAATATGAAAATATGTTTGCAGAAGAAAAATAAAAAAAGATCAAATCAATGCAACTTTGATGAAAAGAAAAATCATGTGACATTATAGGTGGTGATACATAAATGATATTGATATGATGCACTGCTTGCAATTAATGACACTAAAGCGTGAAAAATTTAGGCCACAGGAATAGGTAGAGAAAAAGGCAGAGGTTAGAGATATTTTCGAGTAAATTAAAATAAAAAAAATCCAAATCCAATGTACTGGTTCGCATAAAATGGGCCAATAATAATACATTTAGATGTATATCTCTCTCAATAGTTTAGGTGTGGGGTTAAGAGAGCCATCAGGATCACATGGTATTGGGTTCTTTAGCCAACATATACAGGTAGTCACCTACCACTAGCTCAACGTAATCGTGTGAAACTACAAATCAACATTAATAGTGACACTCACCAATCATTCTTCTTCTTCTTTAAGCCCTTTGAATGTTCGATGACACACACACGCTCACACACTTCATTTCAAATATTTCCACCCACAAATTAATTGTAATGCAATAATAATACGTCACTTTTAATTAGTTATGACGCAAGCGTGATGATGATCTTGAGAATTCCTACCAAAATAAGGGTCTCTAATGTCAATGTCGAAGGTATTTTTTATCCTTATTGGACATTGCATCTCCTGTCCAAATGTCAAATATGATTTTGTCATTAACAATATAATTGAAGAGTGTTAGGAATTGGACGCCAACGTTCAAAAATGGGAAGAGAGAACAATTGAGCAAGAGATTGAAGGATGCCATATTTTAACATTTTAAGCTCAAGCTTACAGGACTGTGCATGTCACATTGTTTGAAGTCCAAAATATGACTAGCCAAGATTGCGGAAGAAGGTACGTGCTTGTTGCTTGTGATACCTTCAATATATAGAAAAGCTTATGGACTCGCACTAATTGTGGGGAAGATTAATATTAGAGTTTTTTAATGTGAGTGGGTTTGAATCAATGTGAAAAGTTTCACATTAAATAAAATTGACCTTAGTAACCTTGAAGAGCTCAATTTTTGTTGGAATAGCACGTTTTTTAAAGTCAATCCTTATTTTGATTCTCTTGAAGCTCTTTCACTCATTTGTTATGATTTCAATGGTAATTATCCTCTCTTTGAAATAATGACAAAGATAAGAGATTTTACTATGAGAGACTACATGATCACTTTTGATCACATTCATGGAGAAGTCAATAATTGCACAAATTGGCTTGCACGTCAAGCCCTTAATGATAATCTAAATATTAAAATTTTAAATGAACCATCTCTAAGGTGTGAAAAACTTTTTGAGCACTAACATGACTTAATTATTGTCATTTGCATGGTTTTTGCCGTGGTCTTTTTCATTCAAAAAAAAAAATTCCAATCCAAAATATAATCAGTGTTTTGAAAAAATTCACATACTAATAAAATCCTCATTCTTATATATACATATGATTTTTCTCTTTCACTTTTAGTGTCCCAATTATCAATGCACTCTATAATGAGTATGAGATATATTTAAACAAATATCTAGGTTAATAAATACAATGAGTAAAATGGGATTTTTTTTTTTTTTACATCTACTAGGAGCTTATATTTTGGATCAAGATTAGTGTGAGAAAATACTTATATTTTGGAATGAAAGGAATATATAATAAAGTGCAATAACTAATGCACTCAAACTTTGGAGACTTGAATTTTAAGCTAAGATATAGTGTGTCCTCTCTCATATTCCTAAAGGAAATATATAGTCATTTTCTACTATTCTATAGGATTGAAATACGCGTGCACGTGTTCCCAAATTAGCAGCAAACAGATCCAACTTGCAAGGTTTAAAATTATTATCCTAATTAAAAGTTAACACACAATAAAGTAATCAACATATATATACCTCAGAGAGAGGCTAGAGGAGAGGGGGAAAAGTTATTCATGGTGTTCATGTAATCATATTTACATGATTAACCATGAATAATTATATAAAATGGAATCAATCTCAGGATTTGTTTTGCCCAGCAGATCTCAGGGTTCACTTATCATATTTTTATGGAGAACTTGATGACAAACACATAATGAGAAAGAATGAGCTGTATTTGACTATTAAATTTATTAACTAATACAGAAATGAAGATAAAATATACTTCCAGTAAATTAAATGAAAATCTTTGGATCCTATCCCTTTTGGCAACTTCAGTGCTAGACTTCAGAAAGAGAGAAGAATCCAGTAATATTACTCAAAGTTTTGGGTATTATATTATTTTGCAGTTTCTGCAGTAAACATGAAAAAATGTGTTACACTTCAATATTATGCATCTTAAGTAATTATAAAACACAGTAAAATAACAGTAAAGTCATGCAAGAACTAGGAAAAAAAAATTGAGTTATTCATTATGGTCATCACTTTTACATGAATAACAGTAAATAATTATAAATACAAGTATGATTACGATTCAGTGGAAACAATCTTAGGGTTCACTCAGAACTAAAATTTCCAAGCATATGTGGTCTATCCCTTTTCATATATCCACCACTCCATAACTTTCCACAGCAGCAATTCTGCCTCTTATTACCGGTCCATGTGTAGCACAGTCCAATGTTGTCTGCAAAGCGTATCAAATCTTCCAACAAAAGAAGAGGCTTCTTATAGGACAAGAATATTTGTTATCAAATTCTCTTATAAAACATAACACGTAGATTCGATTTCTGGAAAAATCCCATCATGTATCCAATTTTTGGTACAAAGAAAAATATTTTTCTAGAAAGGAAATGAAAACTGCACTTATATTATTTCTTTTCTCAGTGCATTTATCGTTTCCTTTCTAGAAAATATTTTTCTGTGTACTAAACATTGCAGTAATGTTGGGTAATAGATAAAATCTACCCACTTGCTATGTTTTTCATTAGAGAACTTGATAGCAAACACGCAAGAACTATACCGGATCTACCTGACTTCCATCAGATAAGCGAAGTTTCTGTACTTTGGTGACGAAGTTTATTAATCACTGAAATAGAAGAAGGGTTGGAGAAGATACTAGTTGCATATTCATTGGTGACTTGGATTCATGATGAATTATTGGCTTTTGGTTGTCTTCATAAGCAGCACTGATAGTGGGTATGGTTGAAGGAATGTTGATTGTGAGATCAAGGTTTAGATCAGGCAAGCCAGAGGACTCATCTTCCAAGCCACTGGCAGCATCTGAAACTTGTTCATGATTAATTTGACCACTACCATTTTTAGGCTTATTTGTTGGCTGATCAATAATATTGTTGTTGTTGTTCTTCTTGGCGGCCTTGTTTTGTTTCAATCCTGATGATGCTGAACTACCGGACGTGGTTTGGTTTTGAAGAGAAGGGAATTTATGACTCAGTCTGTGATTATTCGGATCGATTCCCATGTTGATGAGCTTTCTTCTTAGATGAGAGTTCCAATAATTTTTCACTTCATTGTCAGTCCTTCCCGGTAATCTTCCAGCAATTAGAGACCAACTATACAAAGAAAAAGCACCAAAAAACAATGTTAATAACCATATTTAAAATCAAAGATTTTAATGCTTAAAAATCCTTTCTTGCATATATATCTAATTCTTTCAATTATTTCAAGACAGAGAAGATTTAATTAGTTAAGATGCAATTAGATTAATGATAGAAGTAATTAAACATGTCTCCTAATAGTCAGCTATAATGCTATATTGGGAAAACCAAAGGACACATACTCAAATTGAAATTCAATGTAGAGGAATTAACTAACTAACTAACTAACTTGTTCTAGGAAAGAAATAAAGAAATGCATGCAAAATCCAATTAGTTATGCTATTTTGTGGAGGATATGCACAGTTGAAATGCCCTTCCATGTTTGTTTTCTTTGTATGCCAATTGATATGAAATAAAAATTGATATACAATAATTAGTAATTAGAGAATGAGCTAGGTCTGAAAGTTCAGTCTAAGTGAATTCTGGATCCGTCTTTGCGAGGAGACATTCAGATTAGTTGTTTGATTTTCACTTATATTATATGTTCTTCTATTACGTGTTTCAAATCTTTATACATTCTTTATTTAAAAATAAATAAATAAAGTGCAATAGTGGTTATGAGCTGTGGATTGAAGTTTCACCGGTTGCCAAGCAGGGCATGAAGCTTGATTATGAGATCTTCTTCATCTTCAGCAAAGTTGCCTCTTTTAAGGTCTGGCCTTAGATAATTTATCCATCTCAGCCTGCAACTTTTACCGCAGCGAAGTAAGCCTGATAAAAAACCAAGCCAAATTGTTATTATTGCTATACATTTTTATCAATTATATTACCCCTTAATTTTGAATTAATCAAAATATGAGAATTAATATAATTCAAACACAAATTAAGGGAGTCTTCTTAAGAGTCTTCTTAATTAAGCTAGGATAAGAAATTGATCTGATGACTCTCTCTTTCATACCCAAAACCTCTCAAAACATATACTGGCATTCCCATGATGACTGTTCTCCTTCAAATTAAAATTGGCTATCAAATTTATTTCTTTAAAATGCTAATTAAAACCCAGTAAGAAATGATTTGAGGTGCCAACAGCCCCCTCTTTTGCCTAAAATTAAATGAAATTGTTCTGACACGCCATTAGATGAAATGAAAGTCCGAGGGAGTAACAGACACTCCAAATCTGTAAGAAAAACGGATAGCTAGAAAAAGTAAAACACGCCATATTAGATTTTGAATTTGCCCCACCATATAATTTTGTGAGAAAATGAATGTGGCACAATGAACATGCACATTTTGGAGCAGCAAGAGAATTTTTTGTATACAGACACAACACGTATAAATACGCATGACAAATAATACGTATTTATAGCTTATTTATGGAAGAGTATGCACATCAAGGAGAGGGAGGTATATATCTATTGGGGATAGAAATTGAAAAGGAAAAAAAAAAAACCTGCAGCTTGAGGAAGAGTACGCCAGCAGCCCTCGCCATGTTTGTTGATGTAATCGATGAGCTTCTGGTCTTCTTGTTTAGACCAAGCTCCTTTGTTCATGTCTTGCTTATCACAGCAAGGCTTCCTCATATTCCTAATCCTTTCGCTCAACTCTTTCCTCCGACTCGACTCGCGCTTTCTCCAAAAAGGGCAAATCAAATTAAACCCTAGGTAGACAGAAGATCGAGGACTGAGAGAAATGGTGGTGGTGGTGGGGGAGAGAGCGATAAAGCAGATGAACAAGGGAGCGAATATTATATATTAAGATTGTTTCGGAGAGAAAGAAAGAGAAAGGGTTGACTTGGACTGGTGGTTTTGGCTATCTGTTAATGCATGTGTTGTTGACTGAATCTGCTTCTAACTCACCAAGAAATTTGGGGGTATGACAATGCTCGTGTTTGGAAAGTTGGTGGGTGTTTGTTGGCTCGAGTTTGCCTGTTAAGTATCAGTCAATGTCTCTCGCTCAATACAACGTAGGCTGCAAGGATTCATACATTCTTTTAATGGAAGGTGTGTTAGTGTACATGTCCTCTCATGAATTTGCGATAGATGGATAATGCATTATTGTACAGAGAAGCCAGCCAAAGGTAATGTATTATTGCACAGAGAAGCCAACCAAATCTTAACAGGTTTTTTTTTTTTTTTTTTTGGTGACTTATTTTTTGTTTTTTTTTCTTTGCGTTGAAGGGATTTAAAAAAATTAGGAGAAATGATATTCTAGAAGCTTCTAAAATCATTAATTACAATTAGAAATCCTGAAATTTTAAAATTATGAAGAAGGAACATATATGACAATATTATTTTTGCACTCCAACCATAAATTATACTAAGTTTCAAAAAAACTTAGCGTTAGTTTCTGAATTTATCAAGACTTATTTGTAGATAAGTCTTTTATACATGACCTATACATAATTGTTTTCAAAAAATATTGATTATTTTGTTCATTTTGCAAAATTAACTTATAAATATAAATATAAAAAACTTAAAATCTGGCGTAAAATTACAAACAGAAAGACTAACATAAAATATATTTTAGTACTACTAATCAAATTCAAAACGTACCTTAGATCACTTGGTATATATGACATGTAGTATTTTAATAACTCAAACTTAAGTTTCGGTTGGCATTTATAATAGTCAACGTTGGGATATTTGACGTCAAGAGTAAATGTGCTATATTTTATTTTTTTTAGAAGCAAAATTATTACAACAAATAATTTAGAACATTGGGTGCTCATTGGATAATAATTCAAGAATAAAAATGTATGTTAACTCTCATATTTTTTTATGCTAGAGAAAAGTGTAATTTGAATACTTGTCATGTAAGAAATTAAAGAATAGTTTATCCTATCTTTGTGATCATGGAATTCAAAAATATATAAATTTCATAAGTTTAATCGACATTAAGATTGGATAGAACAAAAGAATTGGATATTTTTAAAAGAGATTGATGGTTCAAATAACCTTGTAGATAAAAAGTCTTATTACTAGCTAGTAATATCCGAATGTGGACTAATTAGTATCATAAATTCTAAACTATTATCACAAAAAATTTATAGTATCACGTTAAACACCATTTTTGTTCCTCAACGTGCTATTCGTGTAGGAGTATTTGGCATCTTAAATTTTTTTTTATGGAGCAATATCCCCCTTTGATATTTGAAAATAAGGCAATTTTGCCTTACTGTTAAAAAAATTAAGTTTGACTGTTAATTAACTTAAAAAATTATAGAAATAAACTTCAAAAATTACATTAAAGGACCCTTTGAGAAAATTTATATGGATACCAATGGGGTTAGGTATAGTAGAAGGGGATAATCCTTCTAATGGGAAGAAAAAGAAGAAGTAATAATTAAAGATATTAAAAATTTGTGAAGATTGAAAAATCAAAGATATTTTATTAATTATGAATATTTTGATTTAATTATCATAATATTTAAATTATTTTCATTTTTCAATATATTTATTGTTATCTTTTTATTTAATTTTAAGATTTCTAAAAATTTTTGCATTTATTTTTAGGGTTAGGTTGAAACTTATAAATAACACCTCAACTTATTTACTTTGTAGGCATACCTATTATTGAATAAGAATTGCTAAAATTATCTCTACTCTCTCTTTCTCTATTCTTTTCTCTTATATCCCTTTTCCATTTCTTGTTCTAAATCAATTGGCATTAAAGCTTGATTCCCACTTTACTTCTATTAGCAAACTCACATTAAAATACCTTTCTAGTGCTAGGAATCACTTTGACGGTAAATTTTCTAACTTAAAGATCCTTGGGTTATTCGATAAAGTACTTTGATCCTAAACTTTAATATCTAAATCTTTTAGATATTACAGAGTATTTTGAATCCCTTTCTTCCTATTTATTTTTATCTTATTCTTGTGTTGTTTCTATAGTTCCCTCATTCTAAACCATTCTATCATAGCTCCTTCTCTTTTTGCTCCATCTTTTGTTTCCTTTGTTCTCGTTTTAATTTCATATTTTCCTTGATCCTTTGGTTTAACCCAAAAAATTTGATATCTTTTAATCCTCTTTCTTATAATCTTAAGCCACACTTAACTCTCAAACATAGTTTGACCTTATACCTAGGTCAAAATTTACCCTAAACTAGTCAAAGTTTCTATCATTTTTTCTGAGAAGTTTCCAAGCCCTCTAAGGTCATTGTGAAGTTACTTATGTAGCATATGTGGTCTCTGAGGAACTTTTGAATTTTTAGAAGGCTAGACTTGTTGAATAAGGTCTACATCTTATAAGTGAGGATAATTTGGAAACCTTTTTTAGATAAGATATTAGACCATCTCTTTGTATCTCACCTTCCGTTGTCTACAATCACACAAAAAAAAAACCACCTTCAATTGTGATATTATGGGCTCATTTAATTGGAAGGATGATTATATTGATTATTGTTGGTATAATTATCATCGTCAGTATAATTATGTTGATTTACACTACTATGATTATATCAATCATCATCAATATCACAATAAGTATGATTTGGTTGACCAATTAAACTTGGATTTCATATATTTACGTCTTGAATTTGTGAGATAAAATGGATGAATTTCAAAGCTCTCTTTGAACAACATAAAAAGAAGGAAATTGCCATCAAGTTGAGAAAGAGAAGTCATATCGAATGGAAAAAAAAAAAACTTATGATCCTATCATCTTAAAACCTTACAAAGACCCTAATACTTTGACTTTTGAATGAGATCATATTCCCAACAAAGACCTTTCACTTGTATCAGCGATGCTAGAAAGTAATAATATTGATGTTTTTGAAATTGAGGTATATGACAAAGAAGCCAAGTCAAACCATGTTAAAGTTTTTGCTTCTAGTCTAACTATAAGCATTGCTGAGACTTAAGAGGAAGCTAATATTTTGGAAGAAGAATAGTTATGGAAACCAACTTTACCCATGGTAGTTTTGGATTCTAATATTATTAATGATGATACTTAATTTCATTTGCTTCCTGTTCAACATCGTTCATTTACTAAGGCTTCTAGTGCCAATGTTATTGTAGTTGCAGAAGAACAAATTATTCTTGAATCACATGGTTCTCTCCATTATTATCTTGTTTATTGGAAAAGATTTCCAACTTGCACATTGTGGTTCTACATGCTCATATTTTTTTCTATTCATTTGACACCATTTACTTGTATTTGATTTATTAGAAAGGGTTTACAACTAGAGCCACAACATGGAATCTCTTGATCCCATCATACTTCTTGAGTAGATTTATAATTTTGCTCTCTGAAAGAGAGTTCTTCAAGTAGGAGAGAAATGATGAGAAGAAAAGAAATAATTAAAGATATTAAGGATTTGAAAAGATTGAAAGATTTGAGAATTTTCTTTCATTTATTTATAAGGTTAGATTGAGGCTTATAAATAGCATCTCAACTCATTTACTTTGTAGACAAGCCTATTATTGAATAAGAATTGCCATTGTATTGTCTCTCCTTTGCGCTTTCATCTTCTCTCTATATTTTCTCTACTCTCTCTTTCTATCTCTTTCTCTATTATTTTCTGTTATACTCTCCCTTTTCACTTTCTTATTTTGCATCACTCTCACAAAATGACGAATCAAGGATCGAATTCTTACTAAAAAATGTGCCTACATTTAGTATCCTATTGTGTTTGGAACATGATTGCCTTTAATATGAAAATACTTATAAATAATCAAGAAAAAAGAAAAGAAAAGAAAAGAAAATGTATATGGATTAAGCCCCTTAAACTGTAGATAAATTGTAAGATATTAATGTTTTTTCTTAACCATACAAAAAGACTAAAATATCATTTTGACCCTACTTGGTGATTATAGGATAATTATTACTAGCAATAATAGTTATTAAAATTATTAAATATTAAACTGTTAATTTTTTTAATAAAATAATTTTTAAAACAGATATAGTATTTTTTTAAATTAACTACCAATATTGTTGTCAACAATCAAGATCCAATAATCATTTGGTAACCTATCAAACTAGATAGTCCATTTAAAAAATTATATTTGTTTCTAATTAGCATATTTGTTTTTAATTAGTAACATGAGAAATTTGGGAGATTTAATTGATATTATTTTTTATAAAGTAATTATAAGTAATTTTTTATTTTTTTTTGTAAATTTTAGGTCACTCTCTATAATTTTTTTTGAATCAATTAATGATTAAAGCTAACATTTATTATTAGTACGTAGTGGCAACATTATTCCATTTAAAAAATTTTTGAGCGAATAGTTAAAGAAAAAAATGCTATTGAAGTCAAAGTATATACATATACATATATATATATATATATTTTCTTTTTGAGAGAGATACATATAGATACCCACATTCTAGAATCAATACATGGAAATTTCACCCTTCATTAACACGACAACATGGTCCTTTAATTTTCTAGTTTTATGCACATTGAAAATTGGGGGGAAATTTCGGAGAAAACTGTAGCTGACCTAATTATTTAATGCAGGTGCATAACGTCGTGGGGGGTAGGGGGAATACACTTATTGACTCTAAATTTAAAAAAAGAAAGAAAGAAAGAAAGAAAGAAAAATACAGTTACTAAACGTTATCGATCTTGTCCGTATTTGCAATTAGGGTGGACAAATCAAATTAGACGGCTAATCACTGTACTAGAGTTATATGTTGACATACAAACAGGGGACAAAATAAATTCTCATCTTGAGTAAGCCAAGTTAGCCTGGGGCCGGGGTGGTTGTGGGTAGTGGCCCATGT